AATAAAAATAAAATAAAATTACTCCTTCTATTCCCTTTTCCACTACCCTTATCTCACTTATTAACTCATCCTCAGACTGAGATATTGTAGAAGAGTGGGTTACAACTCAGGAACTGTGTACAAGGTGTGATATGAGAGGTTGCCAGACTGATACATTGTGGGAGTCTGTCCTTTAAGTTGTATGTTATCCTTTCCAAATGCAGTGTGCTGGTTAACTGTTCTTCCTTTCCATGGTCATTATAGCTTTTTTGGTGTGGACTAAATTTTGAACGATGTCCGAGAGCTGCTTGGGTGGAAATGGACAGTATTTTGGGCGGCCTGTCACTGCATGGCACCATCTTAGGGGCTAAAACTACCATGTTCACCCTGGTGTGGTATTTCCAGCACTGCAGGTTGAAGCCAATCTGAGCTGGAGCTGATAAATACCTGTGACTGCTGCAGAGTAATTGGTCCTGGGGGCAAATGCCAACTATAACCTTCCCCATTAAATACAAAAGCCAGATGTTAGTGGGTGTTAGTGGGTTTTTGTCCAGTGTTAAAGGGGCTGCAGAGACCATGTGGGGGCTGAGATAGAGACAGGCAGGCTGACCTGGCCAGCTGTGGGCTGGAGCTCATCAGCACAGGTGAGCCTGCTCACTAACGACCTGCACACAGTCAGCTCACTAGCTGCAAGGAGACAACACACAGCAGAGACACAGGAGGGGACCGCCACAACATGGCTCCAAATGAATGCTAATATGGCTCCATGTCTGCTAACACCTTAGCCAGAAGGTGATATATCAGTGTAAGTCATGATGCTAGCTCCCTGCTAAAGAGCTGAATTATCTTCCCTCTTTGATAAACCCAATAATATAACACATACTGTTAAGCTAACTGAAGAAGCTAACATTTGTGCGTTTGCTAAGGGTGAGTCAAAACAATGAGAATCCCATATGCTAACTGTATGCTAAGTGCTAGCTGTATGCTAACTGCTAGCTGTGCTGTTGTTAGCAGCTGCTTCTCACTCTTTGCTAGTTGATGTTTCTGATTTTACTCACAACTATGATAGATATGACATTACACTTGTCACACGCAAACAAAATATTAGACTGCGGAAACACTAACTTTGTAGTCAAATGTGCTTTTGGTCCTGTGGACATTAGCCAGTGGTTTTCAAACTTTGTGGCCAAGGCACACCTGTATATACAGTACAGGCCAAAAGTTTGGACACACCTTCTCATTCAATGCGTTTTCTTTATTTTCATGACTATTTACATTGTAGATTCTCACTGAAGGCATCAAAACTATGAATGAACACATGTGGAGTTATGTACTTAACAAAAAAAGGTGAAATAACTGAAAACATGTTTTATATTCTAGTTTCTTCAAAATAGCCACCCTTTGCTCTGATTACTGCTTTGCACACTCTTGGCATTCTCTCCATGAGCTTCAAGAGGTAGTCAACTGAAATGGTTTTCCAACAGTCTTGAAGGAGTTCCCAGAGGTATTTAGCACTTGTTGGCCCCTTTGCCTTCACTCTGCGGTCCAGCTCACCCCAAACCATCTCGATTGGGTTCAGGTCCGGTGACTGTGGAGGCCAGGTCATCTGCCGCAGCACTCCATCACTCTCCTTCTTGGTCAAATAGCCCTTACACAGCCTGGAGGTGTGTTTGGGGTCATTGTCCTGTTGAAAAATAAATGATCGTCCAACTAAACGCAAACCGGATGGGATGGCATGTCGCTGCAGGATGCTGTGGTAGCCATGCTGGTTCAGTGTGCCTTCAATTTTGAATAAATCCCCAACAGTGTCACCAGCAAAACACCCCCACACCATCACACCTCCTCCTCCATGCTTCACAGTGGGAACCAGGCATGTGGAATCCATCCGTTCACCTTTTCTGCGTCTCACAAAGACACGGCGGTTGGAACCAAAGATCTCAAATTTGGACTCATCAGACCAAAGCACAGATTTCCACTGGTCTAATGTCCATTCCTTGTGTTTCTTGGCCCAAACAAATCTCTTCTGCTTGTTGCCTCTCCTTAGCAGTGGTTTCCTAGCAGCTATTTGACCATGAAGGCCTGATTGGCGCAGTCTCCTCTTAACAGTTGTTCTAGAGATGGGTCTGCTGCTAGAACTCTGTGTGGCATTCATCTGGTCTCTGATCTGAGCTGCTGTTAACTTGCGATTTCTGAGGCTGGTGACTCGGATGAACTTATCCTCAGAAGCAGAGGTGACTCTTGGTCTTCCTTTCCTGGGTCGGTCCTCATGTGTGCCAGTTTCGTTGTAGCGCTTGATGGTTTTTGCGACTCCACTTGGGGACACATTTAAAGTTTTTGCAATTTTCCGGACTGACTGACATTCATTTCTTAAAGTAATGATGGCCACTAGTTTTTCTTTAGTTAGCTGATTGGTTCTTGCCATAATATGAATTTTAACAGTTGTCCAATAGGGCTGTTGGCTGTGTATTAACCTGACTTCTGCACAACACAACTGATGGTCCCAACCCCATTGATAAAGCAAGAAATTCCACTAAATAACCCTGATAAGGCACACCTGTGAAGTGGAAACCATTTCAGGTGACTACCTCTTGAAGCTCATGGAGAGAATGCCAAGAGTGTGCAAAGCAGTAATCAGAGCAAAGGGTGGCTATTTTGAAGAAACTAGAATATAAAACATGTTTTCAGTTATTTCACCTTTTTTTGTTAAGTACATAACTCCACATGTGTTCATTCATAGTTTTGATGCCTTCAGTGAGAATCTACAATGTAAATAGTCATGAAAATAAAGAAAACGCATTGAATGAGAAGGTGTGTCCAAACTTTTGGCCTGTACTGTATCTGTGCACAATAGCTTCTATAACATGTGTTATCACTCTTATCACAACATAAAGTTTGTTTTTATTTACTGATATCAAATAACTATTGACAATCAATCATTACTTGTGAAATATTCATTAACAAAATGATTCAAGAATTTATTTTAAATATTTTTAAATTACATCAAAGCACCAATAACGCAGACATTTAAATGTTAATGTAAAATAATGTGAGATAATGTGATGTGTCACACACTTATAATTCCCTTGTTTGTTTGCCTCTTTATAAGGAAATGAGTGCACACAACATACTGATACAGTCAATTGAAAATTCATTCATATCTTTTTGTATAGGCTCAGCTGAATATTGCAGTAACAATGCATGGTTATCACAAAATCCCACGGCAGACCTGGATTTGCATCACTGCACACAATTTGAGAACCACTGACATAGACCATTTCTTTTTAATTTAACTGTAACTAGCTTCTTCACTGCTGGTACAACAATATTTAACAATGAAACTAACCTTAACTGGAACACTTATACTCAGTGATGGAGTGTACTTAATGTACTTACGTGTAAATTTGAGGTACTTTTACTTTACTTGAATATTTTAATCCCATGCCACTTTCTGGTTGTACTCCGCTACACTTCAGAGGGAAATAATGTACATTTTACTCAACAAAAATTATTTGAGTTATTAGTTACTGTAATACTTCAATGAAAAGCCTAGTCCCAAATAATAATTATAATAATCCAAAATAATAATTGATACATTATCTGAAGTCTCATTTCTATACAAGTAATATTCATACTGGTTTGAATTAAAAAAGAATACTATTTTTTTAATCTTTTTATTGTATTTCGCGTTCCTTATACACACGTTTCTGTGAAAGGAATTAAAATAGATGCCTGTCCAAAAAATAAGGCCTGTTAATTTCAGTGATTTAGGCAAATAATAGCCCGGGTTTTACGGAACTTTACAATTTAAGATTTTTGCACACAAACCAAATGAAAATAAACAAGTGCAAAATACAGTAAGAAAATTAAATGGCAACTATTTGATGATCTTGTAGCTTTATGCAGAAAGGATTTGCTACTTTTTCTTTTCATTATTTTAATAACTTTTATTATTATTTGCTTAAATCACTGAAATCAACAGGATTATTTTTTGCTCAGCAAAGATAGGACACCCAATCAAAATGTTTATTCAAACCAGTATGAATAGGCTATTACTTTCATAAAAATCAGGCTTCAGTTAATATATCAATTATAAATTGTTAATTTGATCTAGCTTTGGCATGCCCATACAACACCACTTTATCCTGTTAAAAAAATACTCACAACTTGGATTAATTTTTATGAAAAACCCTTTTAATCTGACCGTTTAATCTGGCATCTAATTGAGACAGGCCTTTATTTGACACAGTAGGTACACAGTAGGCTAGTCAAAGCGACTAGGCTTTTAATTTAGGTATAAAGTACATGGTTGTATTTAAGTAAGTAAAGACGTTTACTAGTAACAGAGCATTTTTACAGTGTGATTTTTGTACTTTTACTTAAGTTAAGGATCTGAATTCTTCCACCTCTGCTTATACTACTGTTTGGCTCTCTGTATTGGCTCCCTTTTTGTTTGGTCTCTGTGCTGTGGCCCGGATGCCTGTTGGACTACAGCTTTGTGTACACAAATGTGTTGAGAAAGAGTTGGAAAATATAAACATTAAATTCATCTTTTCCTGTGTTAGAGGATTTTTTGGAAGTGATGCACCAGAACAGGAAAAAGGCTGTTATGTCATGGCAGCAGGTTGATGTACAAGGACTCAGATATTGTGCCACAGCAATGAATGATAATGTCAAAGCTGAGATTTCTTTTAACGTAGGGTGACCAGACCTCCTCATTTTCCGGGGTCAGTTCTCATTTTGGGCCGGGCTGCACAGTTGATCAAAATATTATTGAAATTGAAGTGAAGCACTGTGGTGCTACAGAGATTCCCTGGCCTACTGGAACTGGAATTGTCCCTTTTTCTAGTTAACAACACTGTATATTTTAGTGATTAATTGTCTGCTGAGCTGGGAAAGTCCCCTGGCTTTCATTTTAGAAATCTGATTACCTTGATTTTAGTTTGAAAAATAGTTTGTTGTTCAGGATTTCTTTGGTCAAATGCCAGTTTTTTCACTATATTATCTTCTGCATCCTCTCCCAGGAGGTCCATCGGATCACCACAGGCGATGGCATCAAGCGCACCGATAAGGACGACCCAGCGGCCAGCGAGGTGGGCTGGATGACCTCGGTCAAAGACTGGGCTGGAGTCATGATATCCGCTCAGACCCTGACAGGAAGAGTCCTGGTGAGTTCGCACTCAGTCATCATCCTCCTTTTCATCTCTGAATGACATCCCGAGCTACTTTAGCCCACATGTAGCAGACTGCTGGTTAAGACGTCAGCGAGATTAAGCGTGACAGCCCATCATGATCACCCCTCAGACTTCCTCATGACAGCTAGGTACTCAGGTTGAACTCCCTCGTAGTATATTCATCTGTGAAAGGGCCTCATGAAAAATATTTGTTATCATAGGACAGGCCAGAAACCTTGCTGAGAAGGCATCTGACAAGCCACAAATTGTACACGCTTGAATGTTCCTAGAATTTATCTCTGCTTGTCCGCCGCATAAATATACTGCTTTGAAGTGCATATCTTGGGAGCTTATCTCTCAGACAGGGGAGGCAGACACATCAAAACAAAGTCAGGGCAAAAAAGAGGAGAGATTTAAAGAGTGTATTAAGGTCATACACCCCATAATGCCCTCAGACAGCAGAGAGAAACAGATCCAGAAGGATGGAGGGGAGGGAGGGAGGGAGGGAGGGACATGTACAGTTTACCAATTGCATTTGGTCAGCTGATGTGGTTGCCATGGCGGCTGGTGTCTGTTGACAGTGTCGTGTGGAGAACACATGCCTCTTCGACCACGCTGTAAGATCTTTATCTGATCCCTATTTTGCTGTGACCCGTCCTGCCCAGCAGTTTCATTGTGACGAAGATTCCACTGTACTTTTTTCTTTTTAATTTTTATTTTATAAGAGTGTTTGATGATTTGGATGAAAGTGCTTGGCAAGGCATGAGCAGAGCTGAGGAGTGATGAAATGAAATGGCATGAGTGGGAGCACCATGCCAAGGCTTGCCGCAGTGCTCGGGGCTGATCCCACTTTTCACCCACCCCACTAAATGTGGTGCAGCATCTCCAGTTGGCTCAGTACGTGCAGGTTGTTAATCATGAATGCAGGGTGGGCAGCCACACTCGAGCATAATGGTTTGACGTGGAATATTAACGAAGCACTTAGTTCATGTTTGTGGGACAAAAAGTGGGGAGGAAAAAGCCACTGACATGGTATGGCAAGCCGTTTTAACATTTAATAGCTAGACTGGATATTCATTACTGATATCTGCAACATAATTTTGCCTAGTCAAAACTCTTATTCAAGATATCTGTAATTAGATTTTGACTAGTCAAAACTCTAATTACAGATATCCGTAATTCAGTTTTGACTAGTAAGATTCAAACTACTTTTGCCATTCATGTGTATGGGGTTTGTCATTATAGATATCTCCAATGTAGTTGCGGATATCTGCAATTCTTATTGCAGATATCTGCAACTGAATTGGAGATATCTCTAATTCCAGTTTGAGGTATCTACAACATCATTTTGACTAGTCATAATTCAAGTTCAAGATATCTTTAATTATCATCAATTGAAGATATCTACATGGTCCTTTCTAGATATCTTGAATTAAGTTTCAGATAGTCAGAATGACGTTGTAGATATCTTGAACTTATGACTAAATTATGACTAGTCAAGAGATATCTATAATGACAAACCCCATACACATGAATGTCAAAAATAGTTTGAATCTTACTAGTCAAAACTGAATTACAGATATCTTAAATTAGAGTTTTGACTAGTCAGAATGACGTCATAGATATCTGTAAGTGTAGTTTTGACTAGTCAGAATGACGTCATAGATATCTTCAATTAAAATGCATACTAGTCACAATGACATTACGACTAGTCAAAATGGTGTTGTTTATCTATAATGGTAATTCCAGATAGTCAAACTTAGCGATTAAATGTTAAAGCGGCTTGCCATAGACATGGCTGATACTGATACTGATACTGACACTGACGTTTACATTAGACAGTGACACGGGAGTGGACTTTCAAACTCCTGTCCCGCCCCATCCCATGACAGGGTGAAGATAAATTTCCTGTCCCATCCTGGTCCCACAAGAATGCTCCAGTTCCATAATAGTAGAACTGCATATTTCTACAAAAAACTAAGCATATTCTTTTTTTTTTTTTTTTTTTTAATAAATATTATTTCTTTGGCATTTGTGTTTATTGGATAGGGCAGTATTTAAGTTTAAAAGGTGAAAAGAGAAGGTGATGACATGAAGCAAAGGGTCGTCGGCTGGAATTGCACCCACAGCTGCTGCTGCAAGGACATTGCCTTTGTACATGGGGCAGCTGCTCTACCCACTGAGCTAATGGACGCCCAAAATACTGATACTGATACTGAAATAACTCCCAAAATAACAGCTGAAACAGCTATATTGTTCATATTTGTTTGGTTATAATATTTTTCAAAGTACCTTTTTCATATTTCTATTATAGGTTGACTATTTTTGACTGTTGCAGTGCTTTGGCTTTTAATTTCATTTCCTCTGAATGTGTATTTATTCTATGCAAAAAGCAAGACAAATTAATTGTAAGTCAAAACCTACTGCGTATTAAACCTTATTATGATTGTAACTGCTACAGCCATGTGGCAAATAGCTAGCACTTAATATGTTAGCTCGATGCTAACACATAACAGGAATTCCAATTAATGTGCTAATGGAAATTAGCATTGTGATTGGGATAATATTATCTGAACAAACCATCTATTTAATTTGACATGCTCAACATAAAACGACACATGTGCTCATATTAACAGTCGTACACTTCTTTAGCTCTGTAGAATCAAACTAATAGGTACTGACTCATATTGGCAGTCCAATATTGTTATTATGATTTCCATCGCAAAGGGAACAGTGGACTTTTTCTCCTGCCCCGTCCCGGTCACATAATGAATGGTGAAATTGACTCCCATCCTGTGGGAACTCACAGAAATCCCTTGACTCACAGGACTCCTGAAAAAAATGTCAGCCTTTAGTGTGCATGCACAAAATATTCTGTTTTTTTGCTCTTGTTCTGAAAAAGACAGTATTCCTACTACTACTGTTTACATGACCAAAAAAATGAATATTCCACTAATATTCCTGTTTAAAAGCAGCCCTGAATGAACATGCCCTAATATGTTGTTATTTTGCGCCTGTGTCAAAATGCAGTTTTTTCAAAGTTTTCAAACAAGTTGCGGACTTGCTGGATCATTCAGATACACTTTCATTCCTTCAACCGCCTTCTTGAAAAGGTCAGAATTGCGATAGTTGAGTGTATCCAAAAAACTTTTGCTATCCAAGTCTGTCATAATGTTTTAAAGTAGGTGTGTTTCTCATTCTAGGCAGGAATTCGGGCCTTTTTTTAGAGTATGCATCACTGCTCCAGCCTTGCATACGAGCAGCTATTGATTTGTGTACAACGTAGCCATGACAACGCACAGAACTGACAGTAAACAGGCAAGAGGCTGTGTGTTGCAAAGTGCAGTAAAAACCCTAATTGAAACACGTATTGAAGTGTGTTATTTACATGTCTAACAAATGCTACTAAATCCTGACTAATAATGGCATACCCCACATGTCATATTAGGAAAATGTTGCATTCAGTAAATAATAATGAAAATCCAAACGTAATATTGTCTATTATGTGCATGTAAACACAGTCGATGTTTGATGGATTTAAGAAGATGTGAAAAGCGTCAAATCTCGCTCTAGTTGTTGTAAACAAAACTGATTTATTTAAAAGGTCTCTCACTGTGACAAACACTTCATGTCAAGAGCTTTAGTCATAAAATGTGCGTTAGCTCTGTATGATAATGTTGCTGCTTTCTGCGAATGTTGTCATTTAAAACCCAGTGAGGTGAAACATTGGTTGTTGTTCTGAGATGATGTGTGTAGCCGTGAGCTTCTTCAAGAAGGTGATTAATACCAGAACGGAATAAATCCCGTTTTTTTCCTCTGTTTGGGCTAAAAACAGCACATTTTCTTCATCTTCCTCTAAAATGTCATATGAAACTCTGATGACTCAGGCTGAACTCAGGTTGTCCCCCCACGGCGTCTTCTATTAGTTTGTCCTGAGCGCAGACGTTGGGGCCAGTTAATGGTGACAGCAACATATTGCCAACAGAAGCGTGACATCAGCTGCGTTTCCTTGTTTTTCACCAATGCTCACCTCACTTTATGTGCGTGTGCAGCTCAAGTGCCCTGTCTCAATGATGGCTTGACACACAACTGTTTAGCAAGCGCTCGTCTGTAACCATGGCAACTGCAGCTTACCTAAACACAGCAGATGTGTGTTTTCTATGTCAGCCTGTTTAGGGGGCACATTAAAGCCTATTTCCAGGCCATCTGAGAGGGAATTTTACCGGGCAGTAAGAGCAGGGGTTGGCTTAAGTGAACGGCTGTATCTCTGTGCGTGTGTCTGTGTCTGTGTGTGTGTTATTTTATGCATCTAGCTGTGTGTTTGTCGAGCTGCTATTCCCACATCTTCACCCACGTTGTTGCTCTCTTTAAAAACACAGTGTTTGCAGGCAGCCTGTTTGCTCTTGAAATATTCTGAAGCATGTTTTTACACTAGGATATTAAGGTTGACCTGTTTTATACCTGCAGCCTTCATTAGTAAAACTCAGCACAGGTCGAATCGATTGGTTTTTAACTTTACCTCCCCACACACAGGGAGCTGGAAATTATTTTCCCACCTTTGTGGTGCATGTGAACCCAAGTGAAAAGCGTGACTGTAATGAATTTTACCAATTAAACCTGCTCGATTATCACGCGTGGATGTGGATGCAGTCAAGAAAAGAATAAATCTTAATCTGAGACAGCTGAGACATGGATTATGCTTGAAGGAAGCTCAGCTCCAGGTCGCCTGTAGTATTTTGCAATTTCAATGTAGGTTATGACTCAGGCAAACAGACATTGGTTGGTGTCTCTACAGACACAATTACCTGTATAGCTCTTTTTAGTTCAGGAAAGTTACAAAAAGTGAGACCAACAAGCAACTAGAGTTTTAAGATGGTTTCGAAAAAACGTGCAATCACTGGTGGAACCCTGAAAAAACTTCAGGTGATGACACAACCCAAAAAGCCCAAACTAGACATACATATTCATAAATCATATGTTTCTGTAAAATGCTTCTGTTCAATTAGCTCTAGAGTACAACATGTGATTAAGGTTAAGAACCTGTTTAATGTCTAAAGTACAGGACACAAGCCTCATTTTCTGATCATTTATCGTCAGATACCTTCTTAGTTGGAGGATTATGTTCAGGGATAAGATGGTTACTTTTAAAATGTATTCCACTACAGATTACTGAATACATGCCATAAAAC